AGAGGTGCAGATTGATGACATGTTCCTGGAATGGACCACTTGGTGATCAATCTGTGTTCAAAGTTCAGTGTCAGTCAGTCAATGCTGTTCCCTGGAATGACGGGGGCGGGAGTTACCTTCAGTTTGGCAGCGGATCCTGGGACCCGAAGGATTCCTTCCGTCTGCAGAGCGCTCTGCTCCAAGACGCCCAGCAACTAGAGAGAGAAGCAGAGAGACAGACAGCTGCTCTGAGGTTTAAATCATCTCCAGCGTCTCCGGCTGTTCCGTCGCTGCTTGCTGCTAACCACCGTTTCTATTGCAATGTTTCAGCTGCTGATCTGAACCTAAAATACTGATGCAGCGTTAAAGAAGCGGCCATCAGGCCCTGAAGGTTTCCAACAGACAGATTCTTCACCTTCTGGAAGAAGACAGGAACTTTGACTCCAGGAAACGTCTTCCTGTCGTTGTCCAACAGAGAGTTCAGAGAGACACCGAACACGCCGCTGTCTGATGGACAGAAGACAGAACAGTCACTTGTACTGAACCTCCACTGAGGGACAGGCTGGCCTTAAACTGGACGAAGCTACGCCAGCCGTCACACCCTTGGTTGGTCTAAGGAGAATAAGGATCTGACTAGAGGGAGAAATCTACCTGTTTCAGATCTATTACGGCTTCAGCATTAGCTCTTTAGTATGCCTGCATGTTCTACAAAGGCATCTAGAACATGCAGAACACCTGCTGAAGAGCACCAGAGAACTGGATCAGCGCATCTAGGAGAAAAACATCTAGAACATCAGCAGACAGAGTCACACTCCATCATGGCCTAATCTAGAACAGAAATGTTTTAAAGGGAGTGAAAAAACTTTGACTTCCTGTTTTAGCTGATCTACATCTGATCGCCTGGAAAATGGTTCCATGTTCCACTAGTTCCTGAAGCAGAAGGAACCAAAGCTCAGTCTGTCTGTGGAGAAAAACCACGAGGTCTGAACCTTAAATGTTTTGTTGGAATTAAAGGAACAGCTCTAGATGGTTTAAATCTATCTGATCGAATTCAGTTTGTTCATGTTAAGGACAGATCTTCCTCATGCTCAAAGGTTACCT